GGCTCTCTTCCATCCACATGGCCTTTTCTTCAGAACATTTCTGGGACACCACACTAGTTCTACTTTATAGTTTGTCAAAAATGCCTGAGTCTTTCTGGTTCACTGTAGGTGCCAAGCACCGTAACCAGAATAAATTACAGTCTTTTCCATCCCAGTAAATCCAAAAGTCTGTCTCCAGATGTACTAAAACCCAAACCAAAAAGTGGTAAATATGCACCTGCACCCTGTGAACTGTTAGGGTGCCAATGTATGGCATAGATGAAAACTACAGCAATTGGCAAAAGGTAAGACAAAAATAAGAGTAAGTTCAAGTGGACTTCTCACTAAATAAAAAACCTAAGCAGAAGCTTTTCTTCTGGTGTTTTAAGTCATCAAGAAAACAAAGATTATTCTTTGTTTCCATAAGCTGCTTTTCTACCAACAATTAGACTATGGTAAGCACTACTGACAAACGTGGTTTAATAAGTGAGTGCTGACAAAAATGCATTAAGCCACCTAACGTTCAGATAGTTTGAAATATTACCTTTGCCAATGTACACGATCATTCTATGTGAGTCAATATAAATGCAAGTTCTTTTAGTTACATGGTTCATTTACAGAACTGAAATTATATAACAAATCTACTGAGGATTTTTATTTTTGAAAAATAATCTGATGAATTCACAAACAGAATATGAAGGGGATGAGGGAATACGGAATCTGAAACAGATGGCATCTAATTTTTTTCTTTACTGAGTCCATTTTGAACACAATCCCAATAATGTCAAAATCCAATTTAGCTCTCCAAATAATCTTAAAATGGTAATTCTGAAGTAAATTCATTCATTTCTCCCCTCCCAGCTTCTCAAAGTTTCTATATTAAGCCAAAATGAGTAAAGATAAGTGAGATGTTGAGAAGAGAAAAACGACTGCTCTGCATATTCTTTAATGGAAATTCACTTCTATTTATTTATTTAAAGCCACTGAAGTAGTTTCTATCAAGATTGGGGGCATTAATATCTTATCAATTTTTTTCTGGATATAATCATTATATTATTCTGATTAGAAATTAACTTGTATCTCCATAAAAGAAATGCTTCAAAGGAGTAACAAGCTCTGGAAGAATACTTATTTGTTCTCAGTAAAGAGAAACCCCTATCTGGCATTTTCAAAACATTTCCATAGTAAATCTTTTATTCCAACTGTACTTTGCTCATTATACAATTCCAATAAATGGCATATATCCTTTCCAATCTTTCCTAAAACTTTCCGAGGTTATCCAAGAGATATCAAACGGAGGTTTAGTCATTTTTAGATTTCCTGACAAGCAAATTCCATAACTGACAACTGCAAAGATCTTTGGAATGGCCACATACTTAGTTTGAGTGAAAAGGTCACTGAGAAAAGAACTCTGTCTAGTAGTCTCTACTGTAGGCTACAATCTAGTATCCCATCTATTATAACAAAATAAGTGGTTTGCTAAAGTTTATGAGAAGGTGTGGGTAAGAGGGGGAGTGAGAACTTCTGATCACTTTACCAAGTAAACAAGATAACATGGCCAACTTTAAAAGTTCAAAGATGATGATCCAGAAAAATATAGCAAAAAGCTTATGTATACACCAAAGACTTTACAGTCTCAAAAAAGTCACAAAAGGTGAATCTGCTACTTTAGCAAAAACAGAATTCAACTCTTTTAAAAAATAATATTTAGTAATTTTAAATATAGCCACCCACTTACCAATTTGATCAATATATTTACTGAGCAAATACTGTTATGAATAAAACTTAAAACTTTCAAGAAACATGCAATATACAACAGAAGAGGAGGAGGGAGATGGGTCAAAATAGTGGAGGAAAAAGCACAAGGGACTGTGGTGATAGTTTTCAGGGAATGTGGTGATGGGAGACTTACAAGAGTGGAGAAATTAACTACTGTGTAAAAATAAACAACCATATAAGAAAATTTTTTAAATCTTGAAAAGTAAAACCTTGTTAAAAAAAGAAAAAAGAAATATGCAGGCCTTCACTGATGATGCAATGGGCTAAAGCACAGCACTAAGAAGTTATCACAGCCACTACAGGGCGGTGACCCACATGGCATGGCAGACCTCTCCTGACCCACTCGCTATGCCCCTCAGCGGTGTACTTCATTAGTTTAGCCTGTTCTGCTCCCCACTCTGTCTCTGGTGGATCCTGACTGTATTTCAGTCAGTCCTCCTGTTCTGCTCCCCTTTCTGGTCAATCTTCTCACGCCCCCACACCTTCGGCCTGTACTCCTGTTTTGTATGCATAAATAAATAAGTTTAAAAAAAAGAAACATGCAGGGCCTCCATGGTGACACAGGGGTTAAAGTCTCAGAGGTATCAAGCATCATCAACCACTGCAACATGGAGTTCACTCCCTGGCTAGGGACCTAGCCCACATGGTGTGGCAGACCTCTCCTATCTCTCCTACTGCTCCACTCAGCAGTGTATTTCAGTAGATCTGCCTGTTCTGCTTCCCATTCTATCTCTAGTGAATCCTCTCACCCTGCACCTCTGGCCTACCAGACCTCCCAGTTCTTGTATACATAAATAAAAATAAATCATTAATTTAAAAAAAAGAAACATGCAATAAAGTTGGAAAGTTTTATCAGTGTTTTATTAAAGGTGGGAAAGTTCAAAAGATAAAGACGTGGGGAAGAAATAAATTTGAAAATAACTCAAGGGGCCCTCCCTGGTGGCACAGCAGATTAAAGCACACACTAAGAAGCTAAAGTCACTTCAGCATAAGTTCAGTCCCTGCCCTGGAGCTGACCCACATGGTGTGGCAGACCTCTCCTGACCTGCCTGCTGCTCCCCTCAGCAGTGTACTTCATCAGTTTAGCCTGTTCTGCTCCCCACTCTGTCTCTGGTGGATCCTGTCACTGCCCCTGCACCTCTGGCCTGTATCCCAGTTCTGTATGCATAAATAAATTTAAAAAAGAAAAAGAAAAGAACGCAAACTATAAACCTCTCTAAAAAGATGTATTGCACTACAAAAATCCTAGGCATGCCAAACAAAAAAAAACTATGATTAAAATTTTGTGATTTTTGACCTTTGAATACAAGATACCTTTAAATTTTTAAAAATAGCTCCCCACCTCTGGCCTGTACCCCAGTTCTTGTATGCATAAATAAATCAATCTTTAAAAATAAAAAATAATTTTAAAATAGCAAGTCACATCAAAAAGCAAATTACATTAACTGAAAATTTGATATTGGTTACATATAACTGCAGTTTACATCTACAAAACAAAGAGTTCATGTTTCTGAGATTTCTATAGTCTCATCATGAATTATTTCAAGTCAGAAAGTCATTCCATTTATTTTAGATATTATATTATACATATAGGAATTCTGTAAGGTTTTGTTAAACATTTAAATCTAATTTTAAGATGAGTCATGCTAGTAATGCTGATTTTAACCTTACAATTACAACTACTATTCTACTATTCTCTTCAGACAGATGTGATGTAAATTAAAATTTACATATATTATTTTTAAATGTCGTATCAATCCACACTAAGATACCACAAATCAGAATACCTTTGAAACATACCTTGTTCTTTTCAATAAATCTTTAAGAACTAAAACTTTGAGTTTTCAGAAACTGATCATTGAATTTCATGCTATTTATTATTTTGGATGAATTTTTAGAAGTCACTGAAAGTTCTATTTATACTTAACTAATTGCCACCCTTTCTCAAACCTCATTCCACAAAACTGTGCTATCTTTACTATGTAAGAATAATGCTGAAAATCATTTTTCAAATTGAAGTGGACTTCCAAAAACAATGGTAAGAATTTTTCAACTCATTTTACGCTTGTAAATTCCATGACTTGCCCAAGGTCAACAGCTACCCAGTGGCAAAGTCTGGGTTCAATTCCAGATTTACCTACCTTAAAGCTAATTTGACCACAATTATCTCCTTAAAAGATTAAGAGGAAGGCTCAAGAGCAGAGAATCTTGTCTTTCTGAACGTTCCCGTATCCTGAGATTATCTATCACCACACAGTACCTACAACTCAGTCACTGACTGAATATGAATGTAGAGGATCTTTCCGCTCCATTTAAACTAGGGCAGGCTTAATGGCAGGTAAGAAAGAGGCTAGAAAGGGCTTGCCTCAACATGTCTCGCCTAGACCTCTACTGATCCCCCCAGTCTATTTTTTTTTTATAAACTAGTACATCTATAGACCGAGGTTATACCTCGGTGCTTCTCATAATTGCACTTTTCTAAGATAATTTACACGAGATTTATTATTAAATTGGGAGACCTCGTTTAATATGCCATTCTGGCACTTTCCAGACATTTGAAGTATCATTTAGGGACAACAAACCCAGTTCCACCCTCTTTCTTTTACGCCGAGATGCCTGCCCACTTGGGGGATACCGCTCTGGTAGGACGCAGGATTAAAAGCAGTAAAGGAAGAAGTGGGGGCAAGCGCACGGAAGTTGGGTGGAGGGAGATCTCTTCACCCACTCTTCAGCTCTCGCTCGTCAAGGGCGGCTCTCCACGGTGCCCAGCCGACTCGCAACCCCCACCCCTCAAAGTCGGGCTCTGCCCCAGCGGGATGGGAAGCTGACGCTGGAAGCACTGGATTGCCCCAGCCACCCAGCAGAGGTCCATGCCCTCCTTCTGGCCATGGAAGATGCTCCCTCTTTCAGAGCGAACCCCTCAGGTGGCAAACTCGCCGTCCGCACCGACTGGAGTCTTCAGTCTAGGGTGGGCGCCTCCTCCGCATCCTCACCCAGCCACCACAAATACTCCGCCAAGGGTGTTCCCCAGACCCTTCATTGCAACCCCCACAACCCTCCGGAGATACCACTTGCCGGCCAGCGCCCCACCCAGGATCTCGGCATTCCCCTGCCCGGATCCTGAGAGGGATCCTCCACCAGTCTACACACACACACACACACACACACACACAAACACACACACACACACACACACACTCAGGCTCCAGCCTCTCAGACCCCGTCGAAGATGAAGCGGGTACCTGGTCTGGCTCTGCTCCGGCACTCAGATGGCGCGGGTGTGGTCCCCTCCCGGAGGTGCCCAGTGCTTCTCTACCCACCCGCAGCGGTGGCTTCTCTTTCCCAGGAGCGGGAGGGAGGAGAAGTACGGGAGGGGAGGGGGGAAGGCGAGCAGCCGAACGGCGAAGGAAGCCGAACAGGAACCACTAGCCCTGGCCCCGCCCCCAGTCCGGCGCACAGCGCTCCGGCGCTCGCGATAGGACAAACTTAAAGCCGACTGGGAGAAATAGACACTACCACTTCCGGGTCAACTCTGCTACCGCCCCTCCTTAGCAACCGCGTGGGGTTGCTAAGCGGAAGTACCTTCAAAGACAACCACCCCCAGTTCTTCTGGGACTACCAGGAGGTAGCTGGGAACGTGTGCTCCTTTTTGGCAACACCCTCTTACCTTCTGCTTCTGGACTCAAAGACGGGCACAAACTCCACTGTCAGAGTCACGAAACCCACCCCACTTTGCTCTTCAGCTAAACCTTCCCCTCCAGCTCCTACATACACTTGCCCCCCCACTGCATTTCCACCCCGCTACCCCCCATCCCCAGCCGCGGAATCTAAAGCCGACTGTGTGGCTCCTCCTTAAAGCTCTCTCCGAACCCTCGTGGGAGTATTTTATGGCGGTTTAGCAAGCATCTCCCTCTTGTGGCTTTTCAGTTGCATTTCAACTGATTTTTTTTTTTTTAATATCCTTTTATATATTATGAAAGCTTTTTCATGCCCCTATTTCTGTGACAACCCCTGTAACTGAATGGTAAGAAAAATTTTGTCTTCGCCTGTCTTCTCTTTTGTAGGGATTGCACATGTTGTGTATGATCTGGAATTGTAAAGGGAAAATGTAGATTCACTGTAAATCGAGTAGATTGGTTTTAATAACCACTTAGAAATATTGAGCGAAAACCAAAGGAAAGCCTATAATCAAGTTTGGGAAGGAGACAGACATCTAATTCTCCTCTCAGAATAAACTTTCATACCTACACTATGGACAAAAAACATACCAATGAGACCTAATTTACTCTTGTTTTGGGATGATAAAAGCTTTGAAATATTGGGGGAAATTATTAACTGGGAAATTGTAATTAATAAAAATGATTTTTTAGAAATAGTTCCCATATCATTATCGCAGCTAAATATTTTAAAATGTGTGGTGGTTATTCCGTGAAAAATGAATAAAAATCTTGACATGAGTCTCCTGTCGAATAAACCTGCTTAAGAAACCGTAATTGCGTGGCAGTGAATATACTTGCAACTGCAGACTCCAACCTTTTTTTGGAATTAAATGAAAGTTTTTATATCACACAAGAACATTTAAAGTTAAGGTTATACATATTGATACTTATGTGAGTGGTCATAATGACACTTTACATACATAATAAAAACTTACTGTAAGTGGTTAAAGTCCTTATTTCAGAAGTACCTATATATTCATATCTGTGTGCATATTTGTACATTTAAATGCAGACTCAAATTTTATTGGTCATTATACTCCCTTAAATCACTAATCTTGGAGTGTTGTCCATCTCAGCTGGGGCACAGGAAATGAGCTTTGAATAACTTTAAAGAAACAGCAAATCTGTTGGTTTCCTGTACACATGAGATGGCATTAAATGGATTCACCCCCAACAGTTTTAGTAAAACCTTTAGGATATCATTTGAGATTCAAATGTCAGTAGCAGGTTATTTAATGAATCTAAAATATTTCAAACCTTGCTGTGGGCATGCATACATGTGGAAGTATATACACACTTCAAAAGGAATGGAGTAATTTAGTAGTTAATTATTCTTTTAAAACCTAACTGAAAGTGACAATTGACTAACCTGTTACCATGTCAAAATAGAGCTTGATATTTAATAACCAATAGGATTAAGTATCAAAAAACTTTAAGTTAAAAAGCAAATAAAGGCCCTCCCTGGTGGTGCAGCGGGTTAAAGCACAGCACTGAGAAGCTAAAGCCACTTCCTCATGAATTCGATTCCCGCCTGCCCCGGAGGTGACCACATGGTGTGGCAGACCTCTCCTGACCCTCCCGCTGCTCCCCTCAACAGTGTACTTCCACAATCTGCCTGTTCTGCTCCCCACTCTGTCTCTGGTGAAGCCTCTCGCTGCCCCTGAGCCTCTGGCCTATACCCCAGTTCTGTATGCACAAATAAATAAATCTTAAAAAACATTATGCTAAATGTGTTTTAAAGGAAGAAGTGTTTCATTGGTTAAAATCAATAGTTAAGATTAAATGTGGTAATTCAAGCCAATATATAAATGTAAATCTCAATGCATCATTCATTTCTGCTATTGCCTGAAGAAGTATGACTTACTCCCTTGGACTCTTTCTTCCTACTATTGATTCAATCACTTTTTTTGGAGATTTTATAAAAAATTTATTTATGAGTATAAAAACTGGTACAAGCCATTGGTGTGGGGGTTGAGAGGATTCACCAGAGACAGAGTGGGGAGCTGAACAGGAGGACTGACTGAAATACACTGCTGAGGGGAACAGCAGGAGGATCAGTAGAGGTCTACCACACCATGTGGGTCACCTCCCTGGCAAGGAATCGAACTTTTACTGAAGTGGGTTGGACTAGCTTCATAGTGTTGTGCTTTAACCTGTTGCACCATCAGGGAGGGCCCTCAATCACTTTTGTATAGGTATACGAATAAATGGCTTGACTCCTAGATGGTCACATGACTTCCATAATTCTGTCATTTTCAACATGCTAGTTTCTTGAGGACCTTTATAGGCATTCAGGAAAATCCACATATAAAGATACCTATCCAGGTATTAATTAACTCTCAGATTTTTATGAGCTGCACTAAAGGGAGCCATATTCTTTTTTTAAAAGATATATTTACTTATTTATTTATGCATACTGGAACTGGTAGGTCAGAAGTGCAGAACAGATGAGAGGATTCACCAGATACAAAATGGGGAGCAGAACAGGTAGATCGAGTGAAATACTGCTAAGGGAAGCAGTGAGTGAAACAGGAGAGGTCTGTTGTGCCATGTGGATCACCTCCCTGGTCCAGAACTGAACTGATGCTGCAGTGGCTGCAGTTAGCTTCATGGTGTGTTTAACCTACTGCACCACCAGGGAAGGCCTGTTATCCATATTCTTAATGTGAAACTATAAATATTCTCAGATTAAATAGCCTTCAGTCTCAATAATACCTTCATCCTATAGATCATATGGGAAGTTCAGTCTTTTTTTCCCATTCTCTTAAAACTTTTTTCATTGTTTTACTGTCCTCTGTAATCATTTAAGAACTAAGGTATCTAACATTTATTTTTGGGAAACCCAACACTGTTGTTACTCAGTAACTAGTAACATTATAAAATAATTAATACTTAAAGCTCTATTGACCTCTCCAGATATAAATACCAAAACTAGAATCTAGTATCTAGTATTGAGTTTAATGAATTGCAACTAGGAGAAATGTAGCCAAATTAGTTAAAACAATATACTACACAAAAGACATACATGTGACATAAACAATAGAATGTTTAGTCTTAGGGAAAAAAGTTAAAGATGTGACCGCTGTCTTTAAATACTTGAAGGTCACGTGGAAAGAATTATTTGTCCTGTGTTACTTTAGGGACAGAAACAATAATAGGAGAGTTAGAAAAATTCAGACTTTTAATTCATATTTGTCACAAAGTGGTTAGTGGTTAACCCCTGGTGGTGCAAGGGGTTAAATCTCAGCACTATGAAGCAATCTGCAGCCACCACAGCATGAGTTCTACTCCCAGCCAGGGAGGTCACCCACATGGTGCAGCAGACCTCTCCTGACCCTCCTGCTGCTCCTCTCAGCAGTCAGTCAGTCAGTCCTCCAGTTCTGATGGTACCCCAGCTCTACTATGCATAAATAAATGAAGTAAAAATAATACACGTTAGCATCTTTGTAAATATATCTTTGGCATGCTAATTTTCGCTACAGTGTTGTGCTTATTTCTGAAACTTTGGAAACACAAAATATATTTAATCCTGACACTATGCTAACATTCAAGCTCCAGAAGTTTTTTTTTTTTTTTTTAAGATTTATTTATTCGGGCCCTCCCTGGTGGCGCAGCGGGTTAAAGCACAGCACTGAGAATCTAAAACCGCTTCCCCACGAGTTCGATTCCCGCCTGTCTTGGTGGTGACTTCTTGTCGTGGCAGACCTCTCCTGACCCGCCCGCTGCTCCCCTCAGCAGTGTACTTCTTCGATCTGCCTGTTCTGCACACCCCACTCTGTCTCTGGTGAATCCTCTCACCCTCCCCATCTCTGGCTTGTGCCCCAGTTCTGTATGAATAAATAAATAAATATTTAAAAAAAAAAAAAGATTTATTTATTCGTACAGAACTGGGGTACAGGCCAGAGATGCAGAGGGTGAGAGGATTCACCAGAGACAGAGTGGGGAGCAGAACAGGCAGATCGACGAGGTACACTGCTGAGGGGAGCAGCGGGCGGGTCAGGAGAGGTCTGCGGAGCCATGTGGTCACCTCCAGGGCAGGCGGGGATCGAACTCATGCGGAAGTGGCTTTGGCTTCTTTGTGCTGTGCTTTAACCCGCTGCGCCACCAGGGAGGGCCCCAAAAAAGTTTTTAATGTTGCTTGGACAGGAATTTATCACTGACAATAGTAATTTGAATAATCCATTCAAAGAGGAAAACCAACAGCTTCCCTGGTTGTCTATGTTAAGTGTCAGCACTGTTACAGCTATCGCCTATACAGCCTGCATTCAATCCCCTGCCAGGAAGCTGTACTTGCATGACTCCCAGCTGCTCCTCTCAGCAGTGTATTTCAGTAAATCCACCTGTTCTGCTTCCAACTGTTTGTGGTGAGTCCTCTCTTGCCCCATCTGCCCTCTCCCGCTCTAGCCTACACCCCAGTTCTTCTATACACACACACACAAAGGGAAAACAGATAAGCTCTTTGTGAAAAAAAAAAAGTTACAAGCTTAACTTAATTATCTCATTGCTACTAACTTATAATTTTTATTTCTAATTCAGTTTCATTATAAATAGGGAGTCTTCTGTATTTCTCTTATTTAGAGGAGGCCAACTTGTATAATTTAGAGTTGTTTTTTTTTTTTTTTTTCAGAAAAAAATAGCCTATTTTTAAAAGTTTTACTCTTTTGAACTTTATTGGTTTTATACAGTTTCTATGGACCAATCTACATTTTTAAAAAGCTTTCACAAGGGAACGGGTTATACAGGACCTCTGCATAATAAATAACACATCATCAAGTAAGATATACTTAAAAAGAGTATTGATTAAATTCAATTTTTTTTAGAAACACCTATCAAAATTAGTCTTCACTGGGCACACTGCCATCTTTTTCTCTCTGTCATTGAAAACAGCAAATGTTGCAGATCCATTAAAACTTGACTTTGATAGATTTGGTTTGAGCTACTCTTTAATAAGAAGCCTAATTACCAATGAAGTACTTTGGGTAAAAACTCCGAACTTCAGTAACATACTGATCAACACCCACCTCTAAAAGACAAAGCAAAAAATGTGATCTACAACCATTAGTTTGCAAGTTAATAAAATCAGGTAAATATACTGAATTATATTTGGAATGAATGAATAGATCTAGTAGGATATAACCTTAGAAAATCCACAAATGGGCCCTTCCTGGTGGTGCAGCGGGTTAAAGTTAGCACTGCAAGCTGCCCGAAGCTGCTTCAGGGTGAGTTTGATCCCCACCCACGGAGGTGACTCATATGGCATGGCTGACATCTCCTGACCCACCCGCTGCTTCCCTCAGCAGTGTATTTCATCGATCTGCCTGTTCTGCTCCCCTCTGTCTCTGGTGAATCCTCTCACCTTCCCTGTACCTCCGTTCTGTATGCATAAAAAAAATAAATTCTTTAAAAAGAAAAGAAAATCCACAAATGGATAGTCTATCGTGAAAATAAGTATTATTTTATTCAAAACAAATGAGAAAAACATGTCTATCAAAACGTGGTTAATTTTGACAATTTGTGAGCAAAAAGTGTAACGAGGAAGCAAGATACTAATACTAAGTAATATACCATTTCGATTATAGCCCTAGAAATCTTGAAATGTATAATGGTAGCATGAAGAACTTTAGACACAGCTCCAGGTTTATAGCATGATCTGCCTTTCATGTTTTATTGCTTTTGAACTTTAAAATCATAGGCTCAAAGGTCGATGACATTAAATCAAATGCATATTCTAGGAGAATGCCTCTCATTTAATGTAGTCTATGGAAACTTGCTGCCAGATTTTGTGCTAAATTTTCATTTTTTGTTGTTAGAAGTTTGACCAATCATTTAAGCCTTCATGGCCAAATATCCCTAAAATTTTTCTAAAAATATAGTCATCCAAATTTTTTCAACAATGCATCTTTGGCCTCCTTTCTTTGAAAAAAGTATAGGTTCAGTTTAATACTGAAAATTTTTAACGTGCAAAAATCTAACTCTGCTTTTAAGAAGAAATTAAACATGGCACCATTTAAATAATCAAATGCCAATTAAAATGACATCAGTACAAAGATCTAAGCAAATCTCAAATACAACAGATTCATAGAGCATCATACAATGATTTGTTTTTAGCCAAACTACTAACAGAAGAAGCTAATAACAGGTAAAAGAGACCATAACTGCATTAGACTGAATACTCAGCTAAGTAATCATAATTAATCTTATAAACTCTCCAGTATCATAACCACTTACTTTTGTTTTACTAAATGTAAGACTTGTTTTTTAATTAAATATCTATTCATCAAGATTAACTGAAACATTAATGCAAATATACATCCTAGAATACCAGAATAAACAGAAGACATAAGTCAAGGATGAATAACACAGTTCTATTCTTTTTCATCATCTGTGTGATCAGGTTGCAAAGGACATGTTCTGTGAAAAAAATAGAGAACTTCAATAGTCACCTAAGCATCAACTTTTTTTTTTAAAGGTAAATTTACAAGCTTATATGTAATCAGGAACATTAATTAATAAAACAATGAGTCTGGTCAAATAACCAGAATTGAAAGAAAAAACTAAATTCCATTATTTTACAAACATCTACAAATTTCAAATTGTATAGTAACAAAATGTTTAACAATTTATTTTATCTGCTCATTTTGTTGAGTCACTGGATCTCATTTAGGATATGTTGCTATTTTTATTAAAAAGAATCTGTATTTCTAAAACATCCTTTTTCAACGTGTTTTTTAAGTGGATTGATACAGCATGATCCTTCAGCAAGAACTTTGTGATTAAAAAAGGGCAAAAGTAACCAATCCATTTGAGCAGAGAAAATATATAGCAAGTTGTCATATTAAACTGTATATAACCTTTAGAACCATATGAATATACTATAAAATTGAAAAACACCAAATTATTTGTTGATGATATTCAAGTTTTTGAAAAATCATTGTATTATCTGAAAGTCACTATATTTTTCAGAGAAAAAAATCAATTAAAAACAATTATTAGGCACACGGGTGAATTGGTGATGGGAAGCCCATGGGGATTACAACTGAGATGGGAAAAGGCACAAAACGATCTAAAAATAAACTATTAAATTATTTTTTAAGTTATAATAAAAAAACAAGTCAGAATTGCTTCTTAGAACTGATGGAGATTTGTGAGATCTACTCTAAAATAATAAGCTTTGAAATTAAATCCAGTTAAGACTGAATGATCATAGAACGAGCTAGTGAAAACAGGAAAGTTAAAGTGAAGGTCTTCTGACATGGTATAATGTTATATTTATCTATTAAATCACCCAAAGGCCTTCATTGTATTTTCCTGGGTATTAAGTCAAATTAATGAACACTGGCATGACTCAAAACTTCTTTCTGAAAGAACCTATTATCATTTAAGCATCATAACCTTGTTTACTTCCTGTAACTTTTTCTTTTAATTAAGGTAACAGTTTCTAGGCATGATAGTTCTGTTCAAGGTTTTGAGTAGATAGCCTGATTCTGACTTTCCTAACTAATGTAACTAATGGATGTTTACCTTGCCTTTTTGAGAAAATAGAATTAGAAATAGCCATATTCCAGCTCATGAAGGAGGGAATTTGACTCATAAGCTTGTAAACTGATTTTTGTTTTCACTAAAGGGGTAAATTAAAACACTCCTAAACTAAGAGAAATCTAAGAACGGGGCCTAACAGAATAATGTAAACCTGAATTGCCTAATTTTATGTCACATATTTTTTATGCCATAGATTAAAATTCTTTATAAGAATATAAGCTTTCCCTCTATGATAGAAAGCCTGCAATAGGTTTTATTGTTATGACAGTCAATGATAGAGGCATATTTTGTTATATTGCTAAATGTTTATTTCTTTTAAAAAAATATTTATTTATGCATACAGAACTGGGGTACAGGTCAGAGGCACAGGAGCAGTGAGAGGTTTCACCAGAGACTGAATGTGGAGCAGAACAGACAGACAGGGGCTCTCTCGGGTAGTGCAGTGGGTTAAAGCACAGCACTATGAAGCTATTGTAGCCACTGTGGCATGAGTTCATTCCCCGGCCACGGAAGTGTCCCATATGGTGTGGCACACATCTCCTGGCCCACCTGCTGCAGTGTGCTTTGTCACTCTGCCTGTTCTGCTCCCCACTGTCTCTGGTAAATCCTCTCTCTCTCTCTCTCTCTCTC